AAATGGATTAGGAAGTCAGAGGCCACAGTCTATCAAAGTCTATTACTGCATCATTGATTTATAGTTAACTTTCGTATATTTGCCAAAGTATGACGATATACAGTAGTATGGCTTATTTTGGGAATTTTAATACTGAGATTGTCTAAATGATCAGCTATGTGTGTATTCCTTAAATTTGATTGGTATCAATAATCTAAATGTAGATGTATGTATTAAAATTGTAATATGATAAGTGATTATTCTCTAGAAAACTATAAAAATGATTTATGTGCATGAAATTGATATATCAATTGGTGAATTGAAAAGGATTTGGTTTTTAATACTCTTTTGTCGAGTACTGATACTAGTTTTGAATGAATAAACGGTGATCTTTTTCAGTATCTGAAAAATATATTTTTCTGATCTTTAGTTAACTTTCGACATCGTCCACAACATTACTACGATCCCAATTCCTTGAAGAAAGTGCAGTGATTTGATAGTATACCCTGCTGTGCATCTGGAGGTGGCTGATGTTTGCCAAGTTTCAAAACGCAGTGTTGTCGCAAGCTCCGCTTTGCTAAAAGGCTTCAGACAGGAAGGAGGTAAAATTGATCAATTTAGTTGGTCTATGCAACTTTGGCCACTACGAACCACTTGTATCTAATCGTTGTAATTATCCATCATAATTGTAACTACTATACTCTATTCAAAAGAAAAGGTTCATATAAAGATACCTCCCTACTCACAAATGGAAACGGCCTGTATCCCCTTCACCCCCTTACTTTCTCTCTAAAAGTTTGAGCCTTGATTAATATTCCTATCTCTAACACCCAACTCACCATTGAAAAACTCATCACTGCCCAATTTTTCATTCTTTCTCCAAAAAGTCCATCCTGCTTCTGGATCACGATTGTTTCTTCTCTTGAGGTAAAACAAAAGTCCAAGAAGTGCAATCGCAATGGCTCCACCTACTCCCACAACTACACCAACGACAATCTTGTTGGTTTGGGATAATCCGCCACCACCGTTGGAGTTCTTGTTGTTGTTGCTGCTGTCGGCATTGCCAGTTTCGGTGGCTTGTGAAGAAACTAATGATGTTTGAGTTACAACTACTGTTTTACCATTTTCGACTGAACTCAACGTTGTTACATGACGCGAGGATGAGGAGGCAGTGTCGTCTGTTTCAGATGATGATGAGGAGGATGACGACGACGACGACGACGACGAGCTGGATTCTGTCTCTGATGTGGTTTCCGGTGCTTCTGTTGATGACGACGAGCTGGATGAGGATTCACCGGTTTCAGAAGCAAACGCGGATGATGACGAGGGTGATGAGCTGCTTGATGAAAACGACGAGGAGCTGGAGCTGGAGCTGTCACTCAGTGTTCCAAACGATGAGCTACTACTAAAGGACGGAGATGATGATGATGATGAGCCAAATGAAGTGGTTGAAGACGATGATGAGAAAGATGGTGAGCTGGATGACGAAAACGACGATGATGACAAGCTTGTTGAAAATGGAAACAGGGATGAAGTTGATGAAGATTGGCTAAATCCAAACGAAGTGCTAAACCCATTATCGCTACTACCGCCAAATCCATCACTAGTTGAATTGTTCTCAGCTCTCTTTTCTTGTCTCTCCTGTTGCTTCCCGTGTTTAGCTTTTTTACTTTTTTTGCCCTTTTTTCCGTGTATACTATGGGAATCCAAAGTTTGTTCAAGATTGTTGTTGTTGTCTTCTGAAATAGAAGTGGTTGTGATTGTAGTAGCAGTGACAAGTGGTGTTGTTGATCCTGAAGCACAAGCGTGAGCAGACATAGTTAAATTTATGTTGGTACTGTTGATGCCGCTGCTATTATGACGGTAGGGTAAGAAGGATTGTAGGCATGAGGAAGATGGCCAGGATATCGATGATAAGGATAGTGGTGTAAAATAAAAGTAGCCCAATGCTAGTAATATAGTGACCAATAACAAGCCTCTCAATTTGGTCTTGTATTGATGTAGTTTTGACTCATGGGTTCTGTTGTTACCAGAGTTGAGTTTGCTGTGGTTGTACTTCTCATTACTTATTGAAGTTGTCATATTAGGTATTGTTAAAACTGCCTTGTATGCGTGAAATCTAATGGGGATCTGAGATCTGGGTCTAGTGGCAGGTATCTATGTCTAAGATCTAATCTGTAGTATGTGATTTTGTTTTTTCTAGTTTACTTTGTAATGAGGCCCGGATGAAGTTATGCCTCGAGTGTGATATGTTTAGTTGAATATGTTGAAGGGGTGTGCTGTGTGCTGTGTGCTGTGTGCTGTGTGCTGTGTGATCGATGGAATGGGTTTGAAATAAAAATGAGTTAACAATTCACTAAAACTTAAGTGTAAATAGGAGAAGTGGTGGTCTGGTGGGGTAGTTAGAGGGTAGTAGATGTGTTGTTATAGAATGAGGTTGTTGATGNTCAAACAGTCTTGGTATTTTGTTTCAGTAGATAATTTGTAATCTATTGATTATGTGTATGTATGTGTGTATGTGTAATTGTGTGTCTTTCTCTCTCTCTCTGTCTCTCTCTCTCTCTTTCTCTCTCTGTTTTATTTTGTTTTTATTTTTATTTTTATTTTTCGTCTCGTCTGTTTTAGTTTTTGTGTTTAATGAACACTTTTGGTCCGTCTTACTTCTGTATGTGTGAGGTAAGATTGCATTATACAATCTTACGACATACATCACATAGATGTATGGAAGCTAAGTCTCTCATTGACTTCTAATATATTCGGCATATGATGAAGATAAAGTCTAACTGGCTTAGTAATTGCCAGTGTGTATGATCCAAACCTAGCTATTTTATGTGGGGCAACTATAGTGCATCAAAACAACTGCACATGTATATATATACATAGAGGTTGTATGTGTGTGCTTTGTAATACACATTACATACAGACATATCATGGTGTATATAACTATTATGTCGGAGTTGTATTAACTACTCTATTCTACTCTATTCTACTCTATTCTACTCTATTCTACTCTATTCTACTCTATTCTATTCTACTCTACTCTATTATATTTTATCTGTTTGTATGTAAGTATATGTATCGATCTGACACGAGATTTGAAATTTTGATTTTTTCTGTTTTTGATTTTCTGCTTTTGTGTTTGTTTGTTTTGACGCGTTTTATTTACTTTAACATCAATCAACCAATTAAAAAGGACAAGCATAACAGAATACAGAGTAGTAATTATGAAGAATATGATAGCATTCCTACACTACTGAGCTTCATAACTCAATTGATTGTCGAAAGAAGAAGACAGCACGTGATGCCACAAGTTAAGACAGAACAGTGTGCGTAGAAGAAGAGGCTCTTTCAAACCTAGATTTAGATCTCTTCATACAGTACCTTCCTTGAATATCGACCTCCCTTGTCGGTTTTTGTAGAAAGGGAGACCTTGCCTTTATAAGACGTCAATTTTTTTGTATCAAGTTTGTTGCAAAACTCAGTTTCAAATATTCCTTCTTTTTTTTTTTTCATGATATGAGCTATAAACTTGCAGCAACGACTCTAATAAATAAAACTACAAAAACAGAGCTATACTAAACTAAAGAAACCTATCAGGGGACAGCAACTTTGAAGCTTCGTTTCTTGTTCAGTAGACATTGTCTCAAAAAGAAAATCGTACTGTAAATGTACCACGTGATAAAGAGTGTTGTAATATGCATATTTACGACATTAACTTTTTGACACACTCAAAAAATATTTCTAGAACAATCTCGAACAAATAAACGTCAAGTTTTTTTGTGTAACTCGAATGACTGCAAAAAAAAAAGAACAAAAGCAAAGCTTCTGTTTCTGCAACATTCGATAACATTCCGTTTAACTCCACAGCAAGTATGAACTCTATATATAAATAAGGAAGGTAAAAAAAACTCTTATTTAACATTCCACTTTTCTTTTTAATCACTAACAAACAATACTCGCCATTAATCTTTTACTTGTCTTCACAAGAAAACCATGTCTTACTACTACACTGCTCAACCTTACGCTGCTAATCCAGTTGATTTAGATTCATTGTTATCTTTGTTGCATCAACAACAATTTAGATCATCACCCCCACCACCACAGAAACAATCGCCAAAATCTCGGTCAGTGCAAGGTTACCCTTCAAACTACTACGCCCCAGCTCAACAACAACACCATCAACGCACCAGACAACAAAGGCAACCACCAAGGAACTCAAGACCCAGAGTTGTGCAGAAATTAGAAACTGAGGATGAATATGTGATCCAGATCTATAAACCATATGGCAATTTCAACAATTACGAGGTCAGAGCCATCAAATTACAACCACCTTTGATTAAATTGATCATTTCTTCACAACAAGATGATTTCAAGATTGATTTCAATTTTAACGTGAACTACATTGATTTGGAGAATATTAATTGGAGATGGTACAAACAGGATAATATCTTGAGTTTAAGCATCCCCAAAAAATTGCATTATATCCATTCGAATTTGAACGATGTCATCAATTGTTTATTTGGTGGCCATAGTTTGGATGGTTTCGATGAACGTCAAAAACAATTGTATTTGGAACATGAGCCTGTACTTGAAGAAGAACAAGAGGACGACGAGGAGGAGAAAGAGGATCATCAAGAAGGAGCACAACATGCGGATGACTATGATCATGATGAGTATGATGATTATGAACTGGGAGATTCGGATGACTCTTCACTTGATGAACATGAAAGATTGGTCCAGGAAGCAATTGACGCATTGATTGAAAAGAAGAAACAAAAGAAGGATGCAAAGAAAACAAACAAGGAGAAGAAGGAAGGAAACAAAGAAAGTGGTGGCGTGAAGAAACAACAGCAGGAGAATGAAGAAGAGGAGAAACAGAAAGCTTTCGAGAAGCAGAGACAGTTGGCACAGGATGCCATTGATGCTGTAATTGAAAAGAAGAAGAAGAAAGCAGAGGAAGAGGAAAGAAAGGCCCAAGAAGAGGCAGAGGCTAAGAGAAAAGCAAAGGCAGAGGCAGAGGCAGAAGCCAAAAGAAAAGCAGAGGCAGAGGCAGAAGCCAAAAGAAAAGCAGAGGCGGAGGCAGAAGCCAAAAGAAAAGCAGAGGCAGAGGCAGAAGCCAAAAGAAAAGCAGAGCTTGAGAAAGCCAGAAAGGAATTTGCATTGAAACAAGAACAAGAACGTCAAAAGATCATACAAGCACAATTGGAGTTGGAAAAATTAGCTAAATTACAAGAAGAGTTGGAAAATCAACATAAAAATGATACCAATGTCGTTGACAAGGAAGAGGAATTGAAACCGGAGATTCTCCAGGAAGAAAACAAGTATCAGCAAGACTCCAATGAATACCAAGACTACTTGAAACATCAACAGGATTTACTCAACCAATTCTTTGGTTTCAATTTGGGTCCAGTTTTAACATCACAGTTGCCATCTGCATTATCATCAAACTCGTCTAATGGATCGCATAAGACACAAGATGACGTGGAGAAGGACAAAACCTCAACCTCAACTTCAACCTCAACTCCAACCTCAACTCCAGCCTCTACCACGACCTCTGCTTCCACGAAGCAAGAAGCACCTTCATCACAAAAACAGGAGCCAGCGGGAAAAGAACAAGTTAAAGTATCAAAGCCCAAACCAGTCAAAAGCAACTCCAATAAGGAAAAACCAGTCAATACTCCAGTACAAAAGATAATCAATGGGTCTACGGATAAACCATTACGCAAACTTCATTCACCTTCTATGGAAGATGTTGAGGATGAAGAGTCAATTTTGTTTAGGAAAAAGTTTGATCACTAGAGAGGTGTGCGATACACATATAGATATGTAATAAACTAATGTAAACGTTGCAACTAAGAATAAACTTGTAGTGTTTAATGCCTGGTGGAATAATACTGGTAGCGTGTAATATACTGATTGATTCACCGCAACCCTAAAAAAATGGCGAAGAAAAAAAAAAAAAAAGACCCTGACTCTCTTTCACCCGATATCACCCCTCCACACAGACCACGCACTCACCCTCTCCCCAGCATTCATGACGAAATCGATTGCTGTATTTGGAGGCAATGGCTTCCTTGGCCGCAAGATATGTGAAGTAGGGATCAACAGAGGATACAATATAACGTCATACTCCCGATCAGGCCAACCCCCACAATCTCCACACCACCAATCTCCACCTGCCACCTGGATCAGTCAAGTATCATGGCAGAAGTGCGACATATTCAACCCACGCGAATCGATACCACCACACAAATTGGGCCAATTTGACACGATTGTCCATTCAATTGGACTCTTGTTTGAAGATGCCCTGTATAAGAAACTGATGAACTCAAACTTTGGCGTGTTGCAGGATGTGCAAAAATTGGCTAATCGAGTTTTGGGTAGTGGAGTGAATCCTATGCAGAAGGATAAGGTGAATCTGAGTTATGAGGCTGTGCAGCGTGATTCTGCAGTTTTGATTGCTGATGAGTACATTGAAGCCAGATTGGATGCATTGAAAGAGGAGGAAGAGAAGAAGAAGAAGAAGAAGAATAAGAATAGCAACAGCGCAGACAGTCCAACTGGTGCTATTGTTGGAAATTATGTCTACATATCAGCTGATCAAAACCCACCAATTGTTCCACAACGCTACATCATCACCAAGCGAGAAGCAGAGTTTGAATTGAGCAATAAACCGCACTTGAGAAGCATATTGATGAGGCCGGGCATAATGTACGAAGAAAAAACAGGCGACACAAACGAACAACACTTTTCCAATAGGGATGTGTTGGTAAAAGGATTAAAGTTGGGTGTCAGTTTGAAAAATGCCGTGTTGGGTGAACAGTTCTTGAGTGGGGTGGTTCGGCCCGTGGTGAGCACTACTCAGGTTGCCAATGCCATTTTTGATAAGTTGGAAGATGGACATTTCAAGGGTGGTGTTGTACCTGTTGAGGAAATTGAACAAAAATCGCATTTTTAAAATGATTGAGCTGACGAGATTAAAAAGTGTTTATGAATTTGAACTTGTATATAATCTATCTACAATATTAATAAAACGGGTGTTTGGGAACGAATTGTCCAAAAGATACTCAACTTCAGACAATGTTCTCTACTTTTTGCATTTTGGTTTTGGATGAGGTTGACGAAGTGGATTCTTCTCCAAGGTTCATTATTTTCTGTTGTAGTGATTTGAGCACATCAACTTCAACTTCATCCAATTCGATATTTTCCGGAACTACTATTGATGTAACTGAGATTGTAATTTGTTTGGCATTGGCCACTTCATCTATTCCTTCCCCAGTCAATGTGAACCGCAGCTGTGTCTTTGATAATGCAGGACCACCTCTACCTTGACCACTCTCATTCTCATTCTCATTCTCATTCCCATTCCCATTCTCATTCCCACTCCCGACAAATGGCGCAACATACAGCTCGTCATCTTTTTTCACCCCCTCAACCTCCTTTTTCTCCTTCTCCCCTTTTTCAACTGGCACTGTTTTCTGTTGTACAATTTTCCCAGCACCCGGACTCCACCAGTACACCGGATACATCCGAACCACATTCCCAGTAATCAAAGCCACGGCAATAATTAACACCGAACTCACCAATTGCACCGGCAAGAACCACCAACTCATCAGTCTCACTTGCTCATCGATACTCGGCAACAACGCACTAGCCCCAGCTGGCGGATGGATCGTATTTGTAATTGCCATGACCACCGAACTCACAGCGACGCTCAATGCACCACTAGCCCAATAATTCAGCCTGCCACCATGACTCAAACTAAACAATTTCTGAATACTCATTCCAATAGTTGAACTTATGAAATGTCCCAACAAGATGTTGCGCGGTTGAGCAAGTGGGACCTGCGACGCATTGAAACACAAGATTGCAGTGGCTCCATACGACGCCAAGATTATGGGTGCGTGATGATGATCAGTGAATACATTGTGGTGCATGAAAATGCCCATTATGAGCGAGAGACCCGAGAACGTGGCAATGAGAATCTCGAGCCATATGAAGTAGTCTGGGGCGGGCTTGTGTGTATGTCTGCGGTAGCCTAGGAAGTGGGATATGACACGGGGTAGTTTAGGAGCTTGGTTGCGGGGGATGTATGGGTCAAGTATAGTGTCGATTGTGAACTTGAACACCATTTTTTCTGCAAGTTTACTGAGTAAGTTTCGGCAGCGAAGGGGGGTTGTGAGATATGTGGGTTGCTGGTATGTGTGTGTGTGTGTGGGTGAACTAGTGGTGAACGGACTTTGATGTTGTTGTGAGTAGATGAGATGATTACTAACTACACAGATGATATTCAGATGTTCCTCCGGATGTTCCCGCGCGACTTTAAAATCTTCTCTGGGAAGAACACTTCTGGGCGGGGTATACTAGGGCCAAGTTATGAGTAGTAAGGTACACAGGACCAATTTAAAAGAGAGAGAGAGAGAGAGAGAGAGAGAAGTAGAAGAAGAAGAGATTTTCTTCTGTGTTTGAGAACTGGACTGCAATTTTAGTAGTCGAAGTCTCTTCAAAGGGGAAGATGATGAGATCTTTTCCCGTTCTTCAACATGCAAGCCACTTTCAAAGCAAACTAATACTGTACTTGCTCTGGAATGCTCGGAGGAGAGCCAGACGCGTGTTGGTTCTTGATACTTAGATTAAGACTCATAAGACTCTGTTGTGTATGGCTATCACGTGCAAAGAAAAGGTTTTGGTGAAAAGAGAGAGAGAGAGACGCGATTTGTTTACATACGGTTTTGCATGTCTCTCTCGTCTTCAGCATTTACAGTTGATAGAGAACCACTACCACTCTATTAACTAACCAAGGCAAAAACTAGTCTTTTTACATGTCACTCGCGGCTATACAACCTACTTCAACTACAGGAGCAATAGCTTCAAGCTTGAAACGTGAGTTAGCTGAAGTTGAACAAGATCAGACAACAGCACAAGCAGATGGAGAAAAGCTTAGCTCAGCTACTGTCGAGGATGAGACTGTTTTAGTGAATGAGGACAATACAACCCCACCTGCCTCTAAGAAAGCTAAACTAGACACACCTACATCATGGACACCACCGTCAATCACTAGTATATCTGATTTTAAAGACTTCAAATCATCAACCTACATTTCCGAAATTCCTCTAGAAATAGCTCAATCACCGACAAAACCAGTGGTCATAGGTATTGACGAAGCAGGTAGAGGCCCAGTTTTAGGTCCAATGGTGTACGGTCTCGCCTACTCCTTGAAGGAGTTTTCAAACAAACTACAAAAGACGTATGGATTTGCTGACTCGAAACAGTTGACTGACGATAAACGACAGCTGTTATTTCGAATGATTGAGGATGTTGACCTGCACGAGTTGAACAAACATATTGGATGGGCTACTACAACCATGACGGCAAAGGACATATCTCTGGGGATGTTACGTTCAGTACATGGAATAGGGGCATACAATTTGAATGAACAAGCACATGATGCCACCATCAACTTGATCAAACTGATTATTGCTCAGGGAGTTAACGTGACTGAAATATACGTTGATACAGTGGGTCCACCGATCTCATATCAAGCCAAATTGAAGAAACATTTTCCTGCAGTTGATATCACGGTTGCCAAAAAGGCCGATAGCATATACCCCATTGTGTCAACCGCATCAGTAGTTGCCAAAGTGACTAGAGATTTGAATATCCGCCATTACAATGCTAATTTGCCCTTGTTGCAGAACCACAAATTGGGGTCGGGGTATCCTAGCGATCCAAACACCAGCTACTGGTTGAATCACAATGTTGACCCTGTGTTTGGATGGTGTTTTGGGTTTATACGATTTTCATGGCAGACGGCAAAGGATGCATTGGTTAGACATGGCGCTGTTGAGGTAATTTACCTGGACGATTGTGTCAAGGAAAAGGGGTACAAGAAGGATGTCTCGGAGATGTTTGTTGGTAATAAAGCTAGTGGTGCTGGAAGGATAAACAAGAGATTGTTTAATAGTGATGACGTGAACTTGCTTTGATTTGGGACGTGCTTAGTAGATGAATAGATTTTACCTTCTTTGTCTGTTTGATTGTGTAGGTATAGAGTTCAGTAAAATGTCTAGATATATCTTGGAGAGAATATTGGTATCGACGGAGATATACTTCCGCATATGTTGAGCTTGTCTGTATTTTTTTTTTCTTCGGAGAACATTGATGCGCAACTTAAAACACTTCATCGGACTTTTAATACCGGAGAGATATACTCATGCACAGAGCACATGCTTGTTCCAATTGCTCTTTCTCTAAATGTGGCTACTTCTGTTCAGATCCAAGTCTGCGATGGAGATGTATTGGTTGACAAGACCAATAGAGAGAGAGACAGAGAGGTAGAAAGCAAATGTAAATGAGTGAGAGAGAGAGAGAGAGAGAGAGACAAGTTTTGAGTAACACAGAAAGACCACAAACAACCGGGAAGTGTGAGAGAGAGAACAACCCAAAAAAAAAAATCATCATCATCATCAACTCTCAGTCTCAACTTTTCATCTCTTTTCACGGAGCAGTAATCTTATAACACGTACCTATTCCTATCAATTAGACCTTCCATCACTCCCAATGTCTGCTGCTTTACTTGCTGTGTCTAGGTCGGCAATGGCCTTGCGTACTGCTGCCGTTACAACACCAGTCTCACTCAAAACTACATCATTCTTAACTTTAGCTAGACTTTACTCATCAGGCAAATTTCCACCACACACAGTTATCCACATGCCAGCGTTGTCTCCAACCATGACATCTGGTGGCATTTTGGAATGGACCAAGAAAGTTGGTGATGAGTTGACTCCGGGTGAACCAATTGCCGAAATCGAAACTGATAAAGCATCGATGGATTTCGAATTCCAAGAGGAAGGTTATTTGGCCAAGATTTTGAAAGATGCCGGATCTAAGGATGTCCCAGTTGGAGAACCAATTGCTGTTTATGTCGAAGATGCTGGTGAAGTTGATGCATTTGAAAACTTCACTGCTGCTGACGCCGGTGAAGCACCAAAGCAACCAGCACCTGAAAAGGAAGAGGAGTCAAAACCAAAAGAAGAAGAACAAGACAAGAAGGAGGAGCAACCAAAAAAGACCGAATCCAAGCCATCTTCATCTTCATCCGCCTCTGGTAAACCACCAGGAAGAATCTTTGCATCTCCATTGGCCAAAACTATTGCTTTAGAAAAGGGTATTTCTTTGAAACTGGTTAAAGGTACTGGTCCACATGGAAGAATTGTTGCTGAAGATCTCAAAGGACTTGAGCCAGCACAAGCCGCTGCTGGCGCCTCAGCTACCACCACTGTTGCTCCATCTGGCACCACTTATGAAGATATCCCATTAACCAGCATGAGAAAGACCATTGCCACCAGATTATTGCAATCCACTCAACAATCACCAACTTATATCATTCAATCGCAGATTTCAGTTTCAAAGTTGTTGAAGTTGCGTGCATCATTAAATGCCTCTGCCCAAGATAGATACAAGTTATCAGTGAATGATCTTTTAATCAAAGCTATCGCTGTTGCTTCAGTTAGAGTGCCACAAGTCAATTCCGCTTGGTTGGGTGATCAAGGCGTTATTAGACAATACAAGAATGTTGATGTGTCAGTTGCTGTTGCTACTCCAACTGGTTTAATTACTCCAATCGTTAAGGATGCTCACAACAAGAGATTGTCTGCCATCTCAAATGAGGTAAAGGATTTGGGTAAAAGAGCCAAGATTGGTAAATTGAACCCAGAAGAATACCAAGGAGGTACCATTTGTATTTCAAACTTGGGTATGAACCATGCTGTCACTGCTTTCACTTCAATCATTAACCCACCACAATCTGCCATCGTTGCCATTGGAACAACTGAAAAGAAGGCTGTGCCTAGCGACGTAAATGAACAAGGCTTCATCTTTGATGATGTCTTGACCATCACTGGTACTTTTGACCACAGAGTTGTCGATGGAGCTCTTGGAGGTGAATGGATTAAAGAGTTGAAGAGAATCGTTGAAAATCCATTAGAAATGTTGGTCTGAGAGTGGGCAACAACGATAAAGACATACTATCCGTATACTAAATAAGAAAAGAAACACCTTGTTATGGGAAATTTCATTTATTGTAGCAGTCATGTAGAAGATATTTCTGTGGAAGGCTCGTGGGAGAAATATTTTGCTTGAGCAAAACTGCGCTCGCGAGAGGCAAAAAAAAGAAAATTTGGTCTCCTTGAAGGCACCAAACAACAACAACAACAACGACAATAGCGAGGCTTCTCTCACCACCAATTAACTCCCTAAGTCCCCCTTCCCTTCACAATGACAATCAAGGAAATTTATATTGCCAGACATGGGTACCGTATGAACTGGCTACCACCACCACATCCACCTAACCCCACAGGTGTTCCCAGCGACCCACCATTGGCACCTCATGGTGTTGATCAAGCCAAAGAGTTGGCAGCATTCTTGTCATCACTACCCACCAAAGACCAGCCGCAGTTCATCATGACCTCCCCGTTTTATAGATGTGTTGAGACTGCTCAACCTATTGCCCAAACTTTGGATTTGAAAGTCCATTTGGATAGGGGTGTAGGCGAATGGTTCAAAAAGGGCAGGAAGATTGTGCCTGAGCCAGCTGATTATGGTGACTTGACAAAATTTTTCAGCCAAGTGTTGGATAAAGAAGAAGTTTGGCCAAGGGATAGATTGGGGGTTGTGCCTAATCTTGAAGGTGAAACTGGTGAAGAAATTTATTCCAGAGCTACGCAATTTTGGCACAAGTTTATCCCCATTTTCGAAAAAGAGTATCCTGACATTGAAAACATCTTGATTGTGACCCATGCCGCAACAAAGATTGCCTTGGGAAGTGTCTTGTTGAAGTTGGGATCGGTCACTAGTCCCATTGATGGAGAAGAAACCATGTTGCGTGCTGGTGCTTGTTCACTTTCGAAATATGTGCGGATTACTGATGATGCCAACGACTTTGATTGGAAGCTTGTCATGAATGGTAATTGCGAGTTTTTGACGAAGGGAGAAGAGATGAATTGGGATTTCACAACTGGTGTTGAGGCTGGGTCTGCTGAGGATATTGCTAGGAGGAAGAAAGAAGCAGAAGCAAAGGAAAAACAGCAGCAACTGCAACTGCAAGAAGAGGGACCACGTGGCGGAAATGGCAAGAAATCTAGCACTGGGTTAGAAGGAGAGGTTCCTGTGACAGAGGCGGCTACTGGTGTCAGTGAAACCGACAATATGGATGAATATGAGGTACGTANGGGTTTTGGGGGAGGGTTTTTTTTTTTTTTTTTTTTTTTTTTTTTTTTTGTTAACTGGGCCCTTTCAGTCCATTTACCATCCATTTAGAGTCAATTTAGAGTCCGTTTAATAGATAATTTCAAACATTTGCGATCGAAAGCACTCAATTGTTACACAAAAGACTCTTTATACTAACATTTGGCCGTATTCTAGACATTTTACATAACGGTGGATTTGCCAAATGTACCGAAAAGGATAGACGAAGAGGATTTCACCATTGATAGAAGCAAGACTAGGAAAACGCCACGATTCAAGCACAATGTGTTGAAACCATCTGCACGTTTGCAAATGACTAGTTTAGGCGATGAATCGCCCTTGGTCAAGATATCAAACAATACGTCCAATACACCAAATGCATCCCATGGTGTTGCTGTTGTAGCTAGAGACATATCCCATCAATCAACAGCAACAACAGTAACAGGTACCTCGGAAGGAAGGAGCAGCAAAGCTGGCAAACAAAACAATTCAATTATTGATGCTTCTACATTAATCGATGGACGAATTTTCGAAACTAACTGGCATAAATTGACTGGATCTGAATTGATTTTTGATGACTATGGTGAATTGATTGGGCGAGTAAAGGAACATTTGACATGCAATGATAAAGTAAAATTCACTCCTATCAAAAAAACGCTGTATAACGATGGTGTGCTGGTTGACTTTGTTGATTTCGAAGAGGAGGACCCCATTGGTGATGATTCTACCGTTAAGAAATCTGACAGAAACTCCAACCTGAAACCAAGTCCATTTTTGAGAAACGCAATTAAGGTTGCAAAAAGAAAAGAGTATTCCTAGAAGTTGCTGGTGTTTGCTGTCCAAATAAAGTCTATTGTGAAGTTTCTTTTTTAAAAAAAAAGAAAAAGAAAATTGGAAAATCTATATGTGCTGTAGTTTTGGCTCATTTCTTTGATGTCACAACACGCTGTATATGATCCATAAACAGTTGCAAATTCACATCGTCAGTGAAAACATCCGACCGGTCACCCCATCCATAGAAATGATTGACATTGGTGGCATAACTAGTGCTGGGATTCAATTTCGCCATCAAAAACCGTGCCTGTGACCCACCCTCATCACAATCGATGAATCGAGGCAATGGGAAACGATCAACTAGCAACAGCATTGCTTCTCTCTTGGGTGCTTCTAAAAACTCCTTGAAATATGCATACTCTTCTTGTTCGTGAAACCCGGCTTTTCTCCATTGGGCAATTTGAGAACCGTGATGAATAAGAATTTGGAAAAATGTGTCAAGGAGTAGGATTTTCGTTTTGCCCAAGCTTGCTGAGTCAAGCAACACTGGTTCGGGTTCATTGGCAATTTCTTCACCGGTTTCTTCATCAATGGCAGCCGACCCCCAAGTGTTGATATCGTATGATAATAATGTGGGTTGGATCATGAGTAATGAGTTGGCCAAATCTTCATGCATAAATACATGTCGCACAAAGCTTGTCTCATCGGGTGAGCTATTGAAAACATTGATGAATGGCGATCTCCGTAAATGGAACATGAATTGAGGAAATAGTGAGTAAGTAGTTGATAGTCTAAATGAATCCATAGCACCAATTTGATACACGGCAAATCTAGTACAGAAGTCAATCAACACCTGATCTAATTGTTTACTCAAAGCTGTCCCGCTAATGAATTTCTTGTGCAAGTCAGTTTGCAACTTTTTCACGGCGTCACGAGCCACAAGCACCAATGCTGCTTCTTGGTCAAAACCAGCTTCCAATTGAGCACTATCCGAATCGAGGATAATGTTGATGGGCACAGTAGTCACTCGAAGTCTCATCTCGCCACTGGGGTGTTGGTAATGGAACAAGAATTGGATAAAAGTAGCAGCGTTATTAGTGTGTAGATTGTCCAATTTTTCAAAATAAACGGCGTAGGTGGATCTTGGATCAACACTACACAATTTCCAACTATTGCTCTTGCCTTCTCCAACTTCGCGTTCACTAATCATTCGCTCATTGGCACTAACAGTTTTATTAAATGGCAATGCACTTGCATTTCCAATTAAGCCTTCAATTTTCAAATCCTGACAAACTTTGACTTCCAACGTTGAATTGAACCCCATATCAAGCCACTCATTGTTGATTTCTTGTTTTTTGAAAAATCTAGCAAAACTCTGTTTGAAAATTGCCGTACTGACCGAATCGGTCATGACAATGACTCCACCAGTCTTGGTGCAAACCTCATCCATTTCAAACAATCCAACTTGATCATAACTTCCAATGAACAAGTCACAACTGAGGCCCAAAGTAACCAACAGTTTCGCAATTTTGGAATAAAATGTCTTGGCTTCTTTGTATAATGAGGTATCACTCCTGGCTTTTGAAGAAGTTGTTGGTGCTTTGATCAAACTCGACTGTTCTTTTAAAATATCGTGGTGGGATCTCATGGGGATTTTCAATGCAGTATCAACAATCTTGCCTGGTCCCATTGTACATACTCCGGCAACAAACACCATCAAATGGCCACCAGTCAAATGATTGTCGCCCAATATACTCTTTAATAGCAATGTAGATACGTTTATGGCTGCCCCCGTGGCTCTGGACGGACGGTCACTATACTCACCATGCGGGAAAGAATTTGGGACAAGATTTTCAATGATATTGGTCAACTCATATTCAGCTAGACTCAATGGTTGTAGGAACCGTCTAGCTGCGTGCCCAATCAAATGCTCGTAATTGTTTCCGTTGTTGCCACCGTGTGCACCCAGAGCATGTAGTAAACCGGCATTGCTAATACCACTGCCCAGCAATCCCAAACCCTGCTGAATCTGTTCTAGATTGTACGTCTTGTTTCCATTAAATGTGTAACTTACATCACCATTGGAAGTGAGGTCATGAATCTTGACATGTTTGCCAAAAGATACGAACCCAACTAATGCATTCTCCGGTAATAAGCTCAAAGACAAAACCAAACTTTCTTTCAATTTGGCAAATTCAGCTTCGACATCATCACCTTCAAAGCAAGTATCAACAACATAGAAAAATACAGGTGGTAATGAGCTTTGTCTCCCTGTTTCATACTCCACAGTAGTCAAGTTCCCATCCAATGCCGGTGGCAATAGTGGCGTTATTCCGTCTTCTGCAACCAACTGTGGCAATTGATTAGCTACGTTACAGAATTGACATGACCAAGTACCTTTGTTTACTGTGGCATATGGATTCAATATTGAACGACATGATCGGCACGTGATTAAGCTTGTTCTGTCTAGTACTGGGATATCACTTTTATCATTTAAGGGGGTGTATAGTGCTCCCAACGGTATGACGTTTCGTTGATGTTGCAATTTCGATTTCGGTACCGAAGACCACGACAATCGTACACCGTCTATGTCTTCTCTAGTTTCAAAATCCATGACCTGGGTTGTAGAGTTTGAAGACGGAAGGGAGAGTTTATAGATTTAGATCTCTCTGATATGACAGGAATGACAAATGACTCTGCGGTATCTGTTTTCCAAGCCGGTGTTTTTGCTCAATCAATTGCTCTGCGATGGGAAGTTTTTCGTGTCGTGAGACCGATACTGCGCGAAAGTTGGCAAATAGAAAAAAAAAAAAAATAGAAGTACCTCGGCATTGGTGACTTTTCAGATCCCATCAACACATTCCACCTATAACTATAATCTCCTTATCCGACTCATACTTCCTGTTCCCTAGTCATGCGGCGACATACTCAATTACTAAGCAGATGCATCAACACTTTCAAAGTGCGATTTTCCACAACTTCCATTTCCCGTGCAGACACATCGGATCTCACATACGATTCAAGAGCACACGAAATCGCATCTACTGCAAAGGGAGGACGCGACAGATACTACCCACGAATCTCATCTATACGAGAAAGGAGTAGCAATGGATCTGTTATGCGTGTCCCTGCGTTTCGTAAACATTTTGATCATACTGATTTTAGCTCCCTTGCCAACAATCGACTCGATGAGGACTACATTGTTGAAGGACGAATACTAGGCGTTCGAAAAGCTGGCAAAGGAATGTACTTTTTTGATTTAGAACAAGACAATACCCGATTGCAAATCATGGCTACAAACAAACTCACGCAAATGGAGATTGACAAGTTCAATCAAATGCATGGTTGGTTCAAACCTGGTGATTATATCAGCTGTACGGGGTACGCGTCAAGAACAAAAACTGGTGAGCTTACATTGAAGGCTAATAAGCCAATTGAACTATTGACACCTTGTTTGCTTAAAATGCCCAATAAATTGGTCGACAAAGGAATCATCAACAATAACAGAGTACTCAACTACTTGGTCAACCCTGCCTCCAAACAACCCATAATTATCAAATCGAAAATCATCCAGTGTATTCGACAATTTTTAATCCAGCGGGATTTCTTGGAGGTGCAAACTCCCATATTGAGCAATGAAGGAACCGGTGCTAATGCGAATCCATTCAAGACAAAATTCAAAGACACGGAAATTCAGTTGAGAGTGGCACCAGAATTGTGGTTGAAGAAATTGGTGATTGGGGGGTTTGATAAAGTGTTTGAAATTGGTAATAATTTCCGTAATGAAGGGATTGACCAAACGCATAATCCCGAGTTTACATCGTGTGAGTTTTATCAAGCTTACACGAGTTTGGAAGAGTTGATGCAATTGACGGAAGATATGTTGATGGAGATTTTCAAGACATTTGGTATCACGATTCCTAATGGTGCAAGCTTTCCTAAATACGAGTTTTTACCAACTTTGGAATCCACCACTGGTGAACCGCTTGATGACTTATCCTTTGATGGGATTTTAAAATATTACAATCGTCTCAATTTACCAATCCCGCAAGGTGCCAATCCAACAAGCTTACTAAATAACCTAAGTGAAACATTGCTAGAATCATTAAGTGTCACAAAACACCCAAACACACCAGTGTTTATCTACAATCAACCAGAGATTCTATCGCCCTTGGCGAAATCATCCGTGGTAAATAACATCCCCATATCTTCACGATTTGAACTATTCATCAATGGTAAAGAGTTTGTCAATGCGTATGAGGAAGAGAATGATCCACAACAACAGTTTGACAAATTTAGACAACAGCAAGAAAATAAGCGGGAGTATGGCGATGATGAAATGTTGATACCTGATTGGAACTATGTTCAGACGATGAAATTGGGATTACCACCAACTGGTGGGTGGGGAATCGGAATTGATCGATTGGCAATGTTCATCAGTGGAGTTGAAAGGATTGACAGTGTGTTGCCGTTTGGAAATTTGAGAGATGTTTTGAAGCAGTAGAATATGTGTACATAGATGGGTGTGAAACACTCTTTTAATAATACAACACAATACAGTAAAACACAGGCTATTTGATCAATCTGTCATTTCGACATCTTGCGACAGAGGCACCTCTTTATCTTTGGATGGCTTCAGAGCGTCTACTTCAGACTCAGCTTCAGAGCTCTTTTCTTTGTCAACTTTGTCGTGCTCTTTCTCTTTGCTCTCTTCTTGTGCTTCTTCCTGTTCCTGTTCCTGTTCCTGTTCCTGATCCCCTTCTTCTTTTTCTTTTTCTTTTTCTTCCTCCTCCTCCTCCTCCTCCTCCTCCTCTTCCTCCACTGACAATGTTTTCGGTTTCCAAATCTCTAATAATCGATCATTACCCACACTGGCAAACAAACTAGGAACTGTTGGATGGACCGAAAAGTCATTTATTCTTCCAACATGTCCACCGTGTACATATTGCAAACAAGGATCAGGTTTACTAGCTTGCTGAGTTTTCCTTTTCGTAGTCTCAGCCGCTGATGCGCCACTTGAACTAGTTTCGGGATAAGTATAATCTTCCTCCAAATTATCCAAATTCCAAAACAAAATACGCGAATCTAATCCACACGAGATTATAGTCAGTGGTGACCAAGGATCCCACTTCAATTGTCTAATTGCGGCATTGTGCCCAAACAACTTTCTAAATGGTTCTTTGTAATTTCTTATATCGTACAACGAAACCACATTATCTTTCCCAGCAGTGGCATAGAGTGTATTAATTTGTGGATGGAATTCAATGCAATTTTGAATAAGCTTGTTTTCCAATTTGATAACTGGGTTAGTGTCACCAATGGAAGGTGCTCTCAAATCGTGAAATTGTGTAGTTGAATCATCACTAACTGAACCAAAGATGTTTACATCACTAGTTGAAATGTCGTTGATTGCTCCATGGTGCGATTTGAATAATTGTATCGGAGTCGATGGTTTATCGAGTTGCCACAATGCAATTTGAGAATCAAGCCCACCAGATAAAAATTTCTCGTTAGTGGATTCACCAGCACCACCAGCACCGCTTCCACCATTCTTGATCCAATCCAAAGCAAAACCCAGTTGCTTGTGATACTTGTAGTCAACAACTTTGTCACTGGATAAATTGTACGCATGGATGATTCCATCGCCGTTAAAAGACAATGCCGTCGACCCATCAGGTGACAATTTCAAAGCATTAGCCACCGAATTTTGTTTCCACTTTGTCAATATTTTGAAATTAGAAGTGTCAATGCCGTCAGGTGGAATATCGATACCACCACCACCACCACTAGTACTACTGTTAGCAGCCAAAGTGGCAGGCAAAGTAATGGATGCCAACTCTAACGAGTTATCCAAAACATTGATTGTATTTGAACTTCGTAGAAATTGAACTTCGATGCCATTTCCATCATGTGTTTTTTGATACTTGGGCAACCACTGTACAATAGTAGAAGGGTGATCCAAGGCAAAAGTATGGATTAAATCGTAAAGTAAGGGGACTGTCTTTTTCCATATTTTGAATTCCTCATTGGTGATCTTTGCCTGAAGTTGTTCATTCTGGGCAATTTCCTTTTCGGCTTGGGCCCATTCGTTGGTTGGTGATGGCATAGATATAATTCTTCTTTCTGGTAGAGTAGATGTGAGTATGAGTCTGTTCAAGTTCTGCTCTAGTTTGAGATGGTATTTACTTTTAGCTCTGGAATAAATGCCCTGCAATTAGGATTGGAAATTTCTGCTTTTGGTTTCTAGTTTGAAGTCTCAGTTTCTCTCTCTCTCTCTCTCTCTTCTGCACTCTTTTCTTTTGTCAATTTTACAAAACATGCGACAATGAATATTTATGCGACATTAACCCGCCCTGACCCTCATTGCTTAATTTCCACATTCTTGAATTGCAGAATAAACCACATTTGAAATCGATATGTGCAAGACTCGATGGGATGCAGGACAATTGAAATTGATTGGTATTGTTTCGTTATAAATGAAACCACCTCACATTTTCTAGTAGAGTTAGACGTATCGCATTTCATGACAGAAGCTTGACTACGAATATTGCCAGGTTGAGTTTGAAAGGCCATCGTTTGTCTTCTCATCACCATCTGTCAAGCTTGACCTTAACCTCAGATTATGCATCTTTTTGACAGAATACTCGAACTCAAGACACCTTGTTTTATCTAGGCGTCACACCGTGGCCACGTTGAGAACAATAGGTAGGATGCCACTCCCATCTAAGCTCCCACCCCCCCTCAATCTTACATTCCCACATCCACTCACACACTTAACCTCAACTTTAACAATGAAGCCACGCTAAGCACACTTCAAGAGTGGTCTTCACCCAAACTTACCTATCAAGTGGGAAGCCATTGTCAAGCATTATCGCACTTTTAAACTACAGAATGAACAACTAAAATGTGGACATATCGAGGTTGCGAGGTATGTCACGCGGGCAAAGGTGCAGCTGTTTGGCCCATAACCAGGGCTGCACCGGAACGCGCGAGCAAAGGAGATTTACAATGACAAAGAGCCCCAATGTCCGATACACTACTTTCGCAAAACGTTGAAAATTGCTGACGGAGTTGTGATTGACAAATCTGACCGCTTGTTCATAGTCATAACCATAGAGGACTAGACTATTGGTCTTGGACCAGCTTGCAGTGGCTCCAAGTCATCATCTAGCAGCACTAGCATGCTTCACGTGTTGATACGCGCTACCACCACTGTTATCTTAAACAATACTACNAGCATGCTTCACGTGTTGATACGCGCTACCACCACTGTTATCTTAATCAATACTATTACCACAACAACATACCCATAGCTGGTACAAGAGCAGATAGGAATCAAGGGAGGCGGGAGCTTGTTCCTAGTGACACTGAAATGCCACCCTCATTCAAGCACAAATTGCAGCTGTCATGGATCAATGTTGTGTTCTGTATACTCACCCTGCTGGAATATCAAAAAAACAAAAAACAAAAAAAAAGAAATATCGAGGGAATTGTGTCTCACACAAAAATTGCAAAATTGCACCCACAAATTTTTACTTGATGTCCCTTTCTTCTCCTCACCTACCACCAATCGAATTACCATGCGTTTAGACAAGCCATTAAGTTTATTTAAGCGTGCCTCAACTGAGAACCCCGGTGAAGTTGTTGCCGAGAGCGGCGGGGGTTCACCAGTTGGATTTGATTCGATTCCAGCTTCCAAAAGAGAAGCTATCAGAATGAAACTCGGACTTGTTTTCAAATGGAAACTAAGTAAAGAGAAACAAGAATGTGGTGTTCATTCAACTACTGGGTTGGTGCCAGCTTCCCAAGTAGCTACCTTATCACGTCAAATTGGTTTACCAGAGAGTGTGGAGAGTGTTGGTAACGATGACAGGTTGGGACATTTGTCTGATGAGCAGGATACTCAGAAGGCAGCAGTCAGTGATTTGGTTGAGTTCTTTGATGAGCAGACAGTGCAGTTGAGCTTGTTTTTGAAGAGTGTGCAGAGAAAGACAAGTGTGTTTGGATGGAAACTCAACAAGATGCTCAGAACTAAATCATTGAAGAGATTATTGAGGGTGCAGATGAAAATGAAGAAAGCGTTGCAGAATGCACAGAGCAGCAAAGACATGTTGTCCAGGTTGAGAAAGAACATGAAGGCTTACAAGAGCGCACTTGAATTGCATGAAAAGTGTACTCTGGTTGAAGGATTTGACAAGATGTGTTTCATGTTCTGTGACGAGCACAAGAACAAGTTGTCTTTCAACCAAGTTGATGTTTTGAATGTTGTTTTTGGACAGAGACATGCCAAACATGAATTTGTGACGCTTATGCAAAGATTGTTAGACTTGCCCTCAATAAGGAATGTTGTTGGTGTTGAAAAGGTGCAGGAGTTGTTGAGCTCGTTTGAAGTTTTGACAACACTTGAACCGAGTGAGAACGATGTTGATGTTGATGAGGAGACGTTGACTGAGGAAGACAGGAGTAGTGTCAGTCGAGACGAGCCAATGCCAGTTTTGCCAGATTTGCCANTCAGTCGAGACGGTCAGTAGCAGGTTACAGCCAAGGATCAGTGGACTGCATTGCCTTGTAGATAATTTGGAGCTCTTAATTAAGAATATTTCTGAAATGAGAAATTGAGTGGGAACTTGAATCCCTATTTATATACGTTTTTGAGTACGCTTCGCACAAGGGGGGGTAAAAACCACATGAGTCCAGTGTCAACAAAGCTCCCTTTCATTTCAACACATCACACCACATTCAGAAAAAGCATGACCATATTGATATGACCACACCATTACTATATTCCCCGCTCAAGTTTCTGAGTGTGTGGGATACACGTGACTTTTTGAACACACGAGGGATGCCAATGATCACTTGAATTACTATGCGTCAAATAGATTCAGTAATGAATGTCCGTGGTTGTCATGCCAACACATAACCACATTTCTATAAAGCATGACCATAACTAAACTTATTGTCTTTCTACTGTATTCAATCCAAGTACCTTCTAAACACATGAAAAAAAGTTCTATTAAAGATTCCTTGAATTCCCATACTTCAACAGTGTTATCATTACGTGCCTGATAGGAGACACTCCATCCCAAGTGGAGATGAGCGTGAAGCTCGGTCAGTTTTCTTGCAAAGCCATCGAAGAAGACCAATCCACAAGAGCATTTGCTTCAATTGCCACTTCAATATAGTGTAAAGAGTGGTAAGAGCAAGAAGGGGGAGGGGCGCCAGAGAGATCAAAAACTACACCACCAAGGGCTCCACGGTTACTGGTATAATAAACAAAAAACACACAGCAAATGCAAAAAATCAACACTGTCACAACTTGACAGCAAAATGATAGCATAACACACATACTCAACCCAGACATTCACAACTTGAGAAACCCAACAAGAAACCACCAACAGCAACTTTCTTCTTTTGACTTTGTGCCGAATTCATTGAGGAGAATTAGCAGGTTGCACCGAACGCAGTCACGAAGGCATGCGTTAATACCAAAGTGTGATTTGGTACTGCGGTGTTTGTTAACTAAATCCCCTCTTGCAACTTCAAAACAACGACACTTTTCATGACAACAAACTATTCAAATGGCTGAAGTGGCCAGACATACATCCAAGCAGTCCATTCTCGTGCCACTTCATCATACAACTGATCAAACTTCAATCACGGCTTTGTGTTGTGTTCATTGAGGAAAAAATCGCGAGCACCACTGGAACGCAGTCTCAAAAAAGGCATGCGTTAATACCAAAGTAAGTGTGATTTGGTATCCCAGTTTTTCCCGACAAAAATTCCCTCCTTGCATTATTGGTTGTCTCATCACAACATCAAAACCGATTCACAACCTGACTCAGTTATATTACTTGTTTGCCATTGTGTTTCATTGCCATTATGTCTCAAGAAGATTTAGGCCGAGTGACTCTTTGGTAAGTCTTTGGACGCTCCTCCTCTTTCTTGAGCTTTGGAGCGTCCAATATGATGCATGACTTGCATCTTCTCAATCCCGTCCCTTCTTCAATTTCCATCGTTGGTTTCTTCAAAACAGATTTCAAGTTCTCATTGCACTTCATCGTGTTTGGTTTCTTCAATTTGAGCTTTCTCAAGCACTTATTCCAAAACGAGTGCTTCTCCTTCGGTATTGGTTCACGCTTGACAATCTCCATCGGTTGCCACACTGAGTTCATTGACATCAAGCTCTTCATGTCGATGNAAGTGTCTCAAGAAGATTTGGGTCGAGTGACTCTTTGGTAAGTCTTTGGACGCTCGTCCTCTTTCTTGAGCTTTGGAGCGTCCAATATGATGCAAGACTTGCATCTTCTCAACCCTGTTCCTTCTTCAATTTCCATCGTTGGTTTCTTCAAGACCGATTTCAAGTTCTCATCACACTTCATCGTGTTTTGTTTCTTCAACTTGAGCTTTCTCAAGCACTTATTCCAAA